ATGAAAAGTAAGCTCGCACCTAGCAACATGTCTCTATACTGTACTCGAGCTACTTATGGTTATTTTATTCATAAAGGTATGATTATAAGTAGCCGGCAGGAAAGGTAGTTATTTTCCGGATAATGCCGCCTATCTCGGTAACGGAAAAGACGTGAGCAGACTCTGCTCACGTCTTTTCCGTCTTTTCTCTGCTCAGCAGAGATATTTTCGAATTAGTCATGTCCTTATGCTAATAAATAACTTGCAAAAAAGATTTTCTTCAACTCGTCTGCACAAAATCTCCAGCCAAATCTATTTCGACTCCATATGCTGTCCGTCCCAAAATATAAGACCCGTAGTTGTTTTCCGAGTAACTCAAAGACAGTAAAAGGTAGAGATTTGCGGTTTTGGGCAGTCGAAAGAGCACAGTTTAACCTATGTTTTCGTGAGCAAAAGCATTTTTTGAATAAATTTCTGAAATAGGTCTTTCAGCGGGTCTCTGGAAAACCAGTTTCTATATGAAACCTTTTACATAACAAGCATTCGATTTGTTTTCATGGATAGATAGTCCAAAACGTCTTCTTTCTAAAATAAGATCTAAACAAAGGTTTCACTTTGCTTGGTTCAGGCGCTTCGAACGTTTTCCTCGAAGCCCAAGGGCTGCTCTATTCTTCGTTCTGGGATTGTGAAAACATTGGTTAGCGAACACGCTGAATCTCGTGGCAACGTTAATTTTCAGAAAAAACTGCAAGAACACAGTGAAAATCTAGGTTTTCACTGTTAACCTTCACAGGTTAACCTGTACTAGGTGAAATAACCCGTTTTGGGCTATTTTCATCAAAAATTAAAAAACTCATAGCTCAGTCGAAATCCTATTCTTTTGAAAAGTAAATATACAGTTTTGTAGCGCTTGAAAGGCTAATTCGAATGATGTATTGCGTGATTATTTACTATTGATTTGCAAATAAAAATGTATGCAGAACTGTCCATAATGGGCGTTAATTAGAATTAATTAATGCTTAATCTATATCGCAGCATAGCTTTGTCTGAAATACCTTAAATGCCATCATAACTAAAAATGACTCTCGATCAAAGTATGTTAGAATCAGGTTTGTATAGTTAGTTTTGATTAAACAGTTAAGCTTTTAAAAATAGGCCCAGCAATTAAACTTTTTGGTTAAATTTTATCTTAATTAATTTATAACTCTGTGATTACTTATCAGCTTTCCCGAAACAATGCAAGATATATGCAGTCAAGTATTCTCTACAATCTGGGAAGATATAATAGTACGTTTTGAGAGGGATCTGCCCACCGTCGAGGGCTACGTGCATAGTAAGGGTCAGTCCAAGTTTCCAAGATTTGGGCTTTTCTGTAACAAAATAGATTGTAAAATAAAATTTGGTTAGAACGAAGTCGAGTTTAAAAATCAAAAAACATTTCTTCATAACGACGTTGCTAACGACTCCATTTTTATGATTTTCTTTCCTATACACAGATGCTGTGTTTTTCGGCAGAAGAAAAATCCTTTTTTCTCTTCGTTCTGCCATACCCTCTACTATATCATATGAAGACAAAATATATATATGTTGTACCTAAAGATAATAACAGCTTCAAGCAGGACATTATCGTTTCTTTACCTTACCTTCATATAACATTGTTGTTAAGAAGAAAGAAAAGCGCTTAAAGTACGAACTTTTTTCATGTTTTCCAGTGTATGACACATTATTATTAGAATAAGAAATAATAATGTTTCTTATTTCTTCCTATGTGTACGGTGCGTCATGATCATGTTCTACAATATTCTTATTCCCTTTTCACAACTTTAACAGCAAATTTGATTTTTTCTTAGTAAAATATTCATAAAAAGCTTAATATGGGATGACTCATGCAGTCTTAAAAATACTTATTTTAGTGAACAATTGTTGACGGAGATATGGAAACGTTTGCCAAATGCATCGTCAATACCCTTACTAATGGATATATGACAAATCTATTAAGCGTTCTGAATAGCCTCAGTCATTTAAAAGTTCGAGGTAAATGAACAGAAAATAATGTGTCTATATACGCCAAAATGTTCTTCTAATAGGGGATGGACTTCAAGTATAAGAGAAGTTACCATTGGACTACTAGCAGGCGACAGTATTTGACCGTAATAGAAGATTACCCTTTAGAACTCGACTTGCACGACAAAATAGAAGACCAAGTAGTCTTCGATTATAGGAGGGAATTTACACAAAACCTTAACAAATTCCAGATTTAAAATTTCAATTTCAAAAGAATACACTAAATCCATTTCAAGTCGTTCTGTCGAATGCATTGGACGTTTGATTTTGAAAAAAAGTCTCAACTTTCATATGAGAACAGTTTTAAAATTTTAAAATTTTCAATTCAACTTTGTTTGAACTTAATAAAATTTGTTTTGCAACCACTTTTCAGCTGCAGAAAAGCTTAAGAGACGATCCGTGAGAGATTTGAGCATACTTAAGGAAGTTCATAACATGTGAAAATATAGTTATTTTTCTAATTATGCACATTCGATGATTACCAGATGTTTGGGCGCGCGACTTAGGCGTCGACATTGCGGCACGCGCGACTTAGGCGTCGACATTGCGGCACGCGCGACAGCTGGACGCAAACGACATTTGGGTGCAACGACACTTGAGCGCATGTACGACACAAGCATTCAGTAAGAGTGCATTTGTTAAAGTATGATGCATAACAATAAAATTTTCTTTAAACAAACTTGGTATGGTGTGAGAGTTTTATCTGTATTATTCATATTCAACTGTGATAACTGTTTGTTTAATCTTCATCGATATCCACTCACACTCGTACCAGCAACTGTCGTTCGCGCCCAAGCGTCGGTTCACCACATTCGTTTCTCCGTCCAAAATTACTGTAAATTCAATTGTTAGACTTTAGAAACATTCCTGTCTCGAATTATAAATCTTTTAAAAATTGAAGTGGAAACTTTTCTCGAAAAACAGTTATTCTTTGATTCTACTTATTTCTCGTCTGTTGTTTATTTTAAAATTTTGGACCTATATATCAATCAAAAGAGTGCAAAAAGCCGAACAAAATGTTATACTTTTCAACCTTTTTAAATTATAAATTAAGCTAGAAAAGTTGAAAAACACGGAATATTTAAATTAAAAAATATTCTTTTTACGAGTAAAACAACGTTTGAACTGCTAGCTGTTTGTTTGACTAAGAACTTGATTACTCTGTCTTGTAGAGAATTTAATTCTTTATAAAATAGCATACTGATTTTGAACATGAACGGCGTGTCCAAAAATCGTGTGTCATGAGGACCACTATGATTAAAACAGTGTTAAAATCATAGTGTCTTCTGACTGATCATAGTGACTTCATGACTAATTATGTCTGATACTTTGTTTTATTTGCTCAACGTAATTCTCTGCTTAGGGTGTAGGCTGAAAAATATCTCTTTTGTTCAAAAGTTTCTAGTAAACCGGTTTAAAAACTCGTGTACTTTCTAACAATATTTAGAACTTTTGATGATTTCCTGAGTATAGTGCAGATAAAATAGAGCGAGCATATGTTGATATTATATCTTGAATAGCATAATCGTCGACTCAAGTCTCTTTATAATTTTCGGCAGATTGCGAAAGAAACAAATATAAGAATCATGGCCATCTGTTCTTTTTTCTTCTTCAACTCGTCACACGTTGTATACCGAAAGGAAAGAAACACTGCATGCCACTACCATTAGAGATATGAAGGATAAATATTTTTCTGAAGTATTCCGCTTTCAACTGTTAAAGGCTAAAAGGTTCGATTCGAGTTTTTGATGCAGTTTCATTCGTTTTTTTCGAAAAACTTAGAAACCCAATTCTTTTCTCAACTCACTTCGACTTTAAATGGTTTTTCAAATACTCACGTTTTTTTACAGATTTTTATTATGGCATGTGAAATCCCAAATGCTTTGCGTGAGATCCTCCACCTTCATGTTGGATCAGCAGGTATCGAAATCGGTAATCAGTGTTGGGAATTATATTGTTTGGAACACAATTTGGATGTAGATGGTCGTATAGCTGCTGAACAAAGTCAAGATGTTCCTCCAAAATGCTTTTTCTTGGAATGGAATGCTGATACAAGGAAAAAGTATCGTCCTCAGGCACTTTTTGTTGATGTCGATTCATCTGCAATCGATAACGTAAAAACGAGCAAATATCGAAATCTATACACTGATAGTCAGTTTTTCACATCAACAGATTCTTGTTCCTTGATACTTGATGGAATTCGAAAACAAGTAGAAGTTTATGATAATTTTCAAGGGTTTGCATTATTTCATTCTACATATGGTACATGCTCGAGTTTTACGTCTCAACTTTTAAAGAATTTGACATCCGAATATTCAAAGAAAATAACTATAACAAATTCAGTATTCGGTTCATCAGTCAATGCTTCGAGTATGTACAACCTATTGAAATATGCCCACGTGGTTATACCAATGGAAAACAAAGCTATTTATAGTCTGTGTAAACAGCGACTAGATATTGACACACCCACATATTCAAACGTTAATAAACTGATTGCTATGTGCTGGAGTAACATAACATGTTCAATGCGATTTGACGGATATATATTGGCAGATTTAAACGAATTCCAAACAACATTAGTTCCTTATCCTGCAATGAAAATGCTATCGTCTTATCTTTTACCGTTAATACCATTTTCATTTAGCACACATACTAATTTTATATCTCCGTCAGTGTACGACATGTGCACACCATTATTTTCCCAACCGAACACATGTTTTATACACCAGTTTACTCCATATAAAATGACCTTAGCTGTCAATCTACTCTTTCGAGGTGAAAATATCGTCCCAAAAGAAGTTGGGCAAAAACTGATTATGGATATGAAAAAATGGTGGCGATTTTCTGATGGAACACCGACTGGGTTTAGATGCGGTATTAATTACCAGCGTACATACATTTTTGGGGATAAATCAGATGTAGCTCTCACAGATAAACAAGTATGTGTATTAGCTAATCAAACAGCAACATCCAAACATCTGTGTGAGACGAGTTTGAATCAATGTGATAAATTCACAAAAGATGAGGAAGAACAAACCGAGGTAATCGAAGCTCATGATTATCTGCAAGGACTAAGAGCGGATTATCAACAAATTGAAACAGAAATTATTCAAGATCATGAGTTGGACATGACAACTTCTTTCGTATCAGAAAACTGAGACATGAGCTGCTAGAAGCTCACCAAATACCTAACCAAAGTTCTCGTTAATGAGCATACTGGGAAGAAGAGATGTACATATTACAGAATATTTCATCAAAAGGCAATAAAATACTATGAGAAAGCTTATCAGACTGCTTCCAAATCATTATGACGGACGCATCCGTTATTTTAAATTTTATCGACATTTTATAACGAAAGCCGACGGTAAATTACACTACAGTAGCAGTGACGTAGTCGCATAGAGCCTACTTTAACTTGTTCTTTTTGTTTTCTCTTTTTATTGTCGGCAACGTTAATTTATGTAACATCCATCACTCTGTTACTGATATAATAGCTTCCCGCATCGGGGCAGTTTGATGTTAATCTACTATGATTAATCTCTTTCTTTGGGACATAAAGCTTAAACTAGCCTAGATGCATTTTCTATCACTCTGCAAACTGTCATCATTACCAGGTACACATTAGTAATTTAAATTTATCGACAAATAGAGCGAAAGCCGACGGCGAACTACAGGAGCAGTGACATAGTTCCATAGAGCTGCGGACGAGCAGTGGTCCTCCTCTTAGAAAGATATGGCGTACTAACTGTGATTAAAAGTTTTACTTTTAAAGTTTGAAAGGTTAGAAAAGAGTCCCTGAGTAAAGAAAGAGACAGATTTGTTTGTACGTAGTGTTTTGTAATTTAGGAATTATGTTTTATGCATGTTCTTAACATGTTTTTCATTCCTTTCCAACAATCGGCGCTCGACATAATCTTTTTTAGTTGCATAGCACATCGGCCTATTTTTCAGCGGGGTGGTTTGGGAAGCAACGGTATAGATATTCTGATTCGCTATTTTGCGTAGAGTCCGATTCTGAAGTCCGCTTTTTGGTACAAAGTCTACTTTTCGAGAAATTAGCAAAAAACTATTTTTGCGAGGAAATTCCTGCTTTTTCCCCACTTTCGCCATTTTTTTTCGTTGTGTTATATAGATGTATCTTTTTTTCTTCGAATGTTTATGTGATCAGAGCGTTGCTAAGGAAGAAACAGAAACGAAGAGAGGATAATTTAATTTTATGTACAAGTATAACATATTCATGTCCGAAAGATCTCCGAAGAACCGTCGTGTAAGCCGAAAATCTGGAATGACAAAATATTGACTTGTTTGAATGTGTTGATAGAGAAAAGTGCCTTCTTTAAAATGAGATCTAAGCGACCTATTCATTTTTGGTGGTTCGGTGGCAGGACGAATTTTTCCCGTTCGTATTGTCAGATAAAGCTGAAACCAAGTGAAAACATAGGGCATCGCCCCTCCCGAATCGTGGCAACACTTTTTCTGTGATTCAATAACTCTTGTTCCACAAAATTGAAAACAGACTTTCTCTTACCTGAAATATAACACCAATGTACTTTATTCTATTTCTAAAACTAAATCACTACAAAAATAAATGAAAATTTGGTGAGTTTCACTTGAAATAACACCATTTTGCGTTAAGAATAACTCAGTGGGTAAAAAAGTCAGTTCAGTCTAAGGATTTGTCATACAAAATGGTGTTGTTTCAAGCAAAACTATCTTTCATCGTTAATACCAAATGGGATTTAGCACACGTTAATTTTATATCTTCATCAGTGTACGATATGTGCGCAATAAGAACTATTTAATCAAAATATACACACATATCCCTAGTGAAAGTACTGATACGATGAGTACGACTTTACTCATAATTCGTGCATGCGTACTCATATTGGTACTACTAACAATTTCTGAGTATTGTTACTCAGTGAGTACTCAGGAAATATTCATTCACCATTTTATTTTGCTAAACTGAAA